AATCAATCAATGTTTGCAATGCACTCTTTGTTAAAGATTTAGCTTTTTGAATATAGTTGTATAATCAAAAACATCAAACATAATTTTCAAAGGCACATGCTCTTCTTCTTCTAGACAGCTGTAATTTAAATAATCAATTATTAAAACATTGTCATAAATTCTAAAGTATATATTAAAGCATTCAATTATTAAGTTATCTCAGAAGTGATTGGCGTCTAAAGACAACCTTTTAACAACTTTCTCAAGTTTCTGTCTCTAAATAAAATTATTATGTATCTGCATACTTCATACTTTATCTATTCGTAGCAGAACTAAACTGAAAACCTCACCATTTGCTGTCCTGACTGCTATATAAAGAAGATAAATGTCGATATGCAATTTAATTTACAGAGATTCCTCGAATTTAGTTTCTGCGACGATGATCATATCTACCAGATTGTCATTTAACAATTCTTCAATCAAAAATATATTTTGAAAACTGTCGACGTTTTAATATGTACAGTGGAAAATAATATGTACTTCTTTCAAACTCACCAAATATATCATCTTAGACGTCAGCATTAATAACATTAGAAATAATTTTACATCAATCGGTCCATAATTTGAATGTGATGATTGATTATTAATAAAACTGTCGGTCGGTAAATTTTTAAGTCGACTTTTACAGCGTTCCCAGTTTAAAAAACAGTCATCGCTTTTTGGCAGCAAATCTCACTGAAATAAAGGTTAATTGGTGCATTTTAAATTTGTAACACAGAGATCGCTGAAATTACAGCATATAAAATATACCTGAAATGTGATGAATATCTGCGCTTAGTTTTTAAACATTAAAATAATATACAAAAACCTATTCAAAACAACCAAATCATTATAAACTAATCCTATCATATAAACTTAACTCCGCCACATTCTGTATGTATGTGCCTGTCCCAAGTCAGGAGCCTGTAATTCAGTGGTTGTCGTTTGTTGCTGTGTTACATATTTGTTTTTCGTTCATTGTTTTGTTTATAAATTAGGCCGTTAGTTTTCTCGTTTGAATTGTTTTACATTTGTCATTTCGGGGCCTTTTATAGCTGACCATGCGGTATGGGCTTTGCTCATTGTTGAAGGCGGTACGGTGACCTATATTTGTTAATTTCTGTTTCATTTGGTCTCTTGTGAAGAGTTGTCTCATTGGCAATCATACCACATCTTTTTTATATATCAGGAGATATGGTTTCTGTACTACACAACAATGTATCAAACATAGTGGATTTAAGCATTTATGGGTCACCGTACGCTTCTAAAAAAAAAAGGCTGATTGACTTTATACTAACTTTTAAAAGTTTAAATATTTCATAACATTTTATTTCCAAGTATTTTCGGCGAAATCAATTATCTAAAAATATATCTATAATCAGATTTAAACATAGTTAGCTGGACTTTAATTTTCAGTTCATTTAATTTAGTATTTGTGATTATTGAAACTATATTATCTAGTACTGAAAAAATATGTCGTTATAGTATGTGATACACGAATTCTTCTATCATACAGCACATACATAGGTGATAAAACTGTTTTATGAGATTAAACACACTAGTACCGGTGTTTCATCTAATCGAATATTAAAGTACAATTACAGGACTTTGTGTGACCTGATTATTTTCAATTACTTTAATGTTTGAAATAATAGAAATTATATTTCGAATCGTAATTTTACAGGTAGTTTTTGTAAAGGAATTAACAAATGTGAGGATATATAATGTGCTATTTTATTCAGTAGCCGTATGGTTTGGGGTACCCAGACGGTGTATGTCCAGTCATACATTAACCGTATGGTTTGGGGTACCCAGATGGTGAATGTTCAGTCAAGTCAGAAATATGACAATTGTGTTCCACTGGTTTGATGTGTTTAAACTTTTGATTTTGCCATTTGATGAGGGAAATTCCGTTTTGATTTTTCCTTGGAGTTCGGTATTTTTGCTTTCTAGCCTCAACTCTCAACGATTACTATATCTCGTCTCAGACACACTGCCTAATTTGCATTACACAAGGTCAAGTAATTTAATTGTTAATCAAACATTATTATGTCCTTTCTATGATAAATTTGAGATTTTCACAAATAGTATTTAACACATCAACCACTATGTTCGACAGGCTTATCAATATAGTAAAGACCTAAAGGGTGACTAAAGAATTGAAATATGGTCACTACACTTCTTCCGACCGGCAGTAAAACCCTTGCCAAAGTGGGGCGCACGTTTTGCTGTACAGGATGTACAATTACGCAGTCACGTAATGTCAGAATACGGACGTTAAATCCGATGCCTTGGATAGAAATAGTACCACGCTCGTCAGCACGTTAAGAACCCTTGCAACAACTCTTTAAGGGGTTCGTAGATGGCCTGTTGCAAGGCAAAATATGTGTCCCTAACAGATTTATCCTCATTTTCCAGTGGAAGTCTAAAGTTCCCAGACGGCCTCAATAACAGGACCTACCTATTGTATTTGTTGTTAATTAGTTCTCGTCCTGAACATGAATGAAATATTTTCCCTGAACGGTAAGCAACTGAAAAAAGAATCAATCAATATTGTAAAGAAAATTAAAATTGGTCCTTTCGTCTGTACATTGTTGCCATGTCAGTCTTTCTTCGATATATTTTGTTATTGTATCAATGTACTTGACACAGAATAATGTTGGAATGTTTAAAAAGATTAATGTTGGGAGTGTTTAAATTAGGCAACATTTTAAAGTATTAACGATACCAGATTTATTGCACCAGATGCGTATTTGTACAATTTTGAATGTATTTGAAGTGTTGCTCGAAGCAACTAAGTTTAAAATTAAATAACAAACAAACGTCGAGAAGCTGACAAAGAACCGAACGTAAAGCCAAACCCCGATAAGGAATCAGAGCTATGCTTGAGGGAGGTACATTCCTTATTTAAAAATGATTTTGAAATATTATATACAACAGCAAATTTAACTGGAATAATACTCTTGTTTGTATGGCAGTACCGAAGTACTGGCTACCGGGCTGGTGATACCCTCGAGGATTAGCAGTCCAATAGCAAAGGTATCAACCCAGTGGTATCAATAACATTAACGGTATCAATTTAACTGCACCAGATGCGCATTTCGACAATAAATTTCTTTCAGTAATGCACGAGGCCAAAATATCTCAAAACATTATACAAACATTGAAGAGCTGATGAAACCGAAAAGGACCAAAAGAAAAGCCAAACCTGGACATTTGAATGATTTCAGTTTTTTTATTAGAACAAAATCCGTATGTCCATGCCGTAAGCTAGCTATCTCAGGTGAAATATATGAATTTTGACATTTTAGGAAGCCATAGCACATCACAATTGACTTTTGCGCACTGTGTGTCTATTTTATACCAGCTTGTTAAATTATCAATACAAAACATAATTTTTTTATGTATAAATTTTACTATTTTTGTGATTTCAGGGGCCAAATAATAACTTCTCCTTTTAATGGAAACAAACTGGGATTAAACCCCATTAATAAGTATCCATGCATTTTCCCTTATAGATTCCTTTTTTTCTAGGGACCACTGGAATTTATATTTCATTTATTTATTTTTTCATTTTAGGGAAATCGGTCCTGGATCTTAACCTTTGAATTGATATTTTGTTCGTTTCTAATTATGTTTAAATCTCAAAATTTCACCTTAGAGACCAAGCCCTGTGTATGTGACGCTTCCTCTATGAATAGAAAATATAATGTTTAACTTCTCACCATATTACAAATATTTTACAACTCCTTTAAATATGTCTCGAATCTATTTCTTTTCTAAACACCAAAAGTCAAAAACAGCTGACATAAATTATGTTGGAATGCAAACCGCGTAAAGTTATGTAACCTTTCTTAATAGCAGGGGGACTTATCTAAACTTAACAGTTGTTCTGAAAAAAAAAATCCACAAACAATAACCTTTAACATCAAATAAATAGAACTTGTATTCTAAATCATAATAAAAAAATATGATGAAAATACAATAAAAAAAAAAAAAAAAAAAAAAAAAATATATCATGACTAAGTTGTAACGTAGTATAACAATTTTTTCATTATGTATGAAGAGCATATTGAAAATGTCTTATTTACAAGCTCTACTTTTTTCATTTTCGAACGTCGGGAACGTTTTGACATAATCACCAAGTTAATAATTCGGTAGCACATTTCAGTTTGAAACTATTAAACTATGGTATATCTTTTTGATTCACAATATATTTTCTATCCATGAAGCTAAAATGTAATTCAGTTTCATCTCGGAATATTTGTAGAAATGATCCCCACAAACGATAATATATGAAAAACTCACATTTTTAAGTGCGACATTTGGTTGGTTGTTTTATGCGTCAATCATGACAAGAGATAATTATTGTTTAGCTATTTTTAATTAATATCTGTTTGACGTGCGGCCCATATCTTTTAATTATTTTTTATTCAAATCAATCGAATAAAATTCGCCTTTTGTGACATATGTGTGTAAAGAATACAGACCAATGTATATGGACTGCTACTTTTCATCAAACTCTGCTTACTCAGAATTATATCTGGGACAGTATACTGTTCCCATACTATTTATAATTTAAATTTCTATTTCCATTTCATAAAATTTATATCTATCTTATTGATTTTAAACATTACAAAATATTAATCAGTCACAATTAAATGTCATAGTCGCATGATATTATACGTTTGTTATCGTTGACTGATCTTTAATTTTGTGATAAAGGATAAAATATTTTGAAATAAAGTTAGTTGTCTGACGCATGTGCCTAAATATATTGCTTTGGTTTAATATTACAGGTCAAAGCTTTCTTTGATGAAAGTACGCGAATAGTAGGGCTTATTATTCTCTCGAACAAAATGTCATAATTAAATTAAAGTTATTCAAGTAGGCTTTTGTTCAAATTTTCCTGGAAAAAACTTAACACCTATTCAAAAGTTAAACATTACAAATGAAGTAAATATAGCACATTATTTTATTGGTTTACCAAGAAATCACATGATAAAGTTATATTTCGCTTTATATGAAATAGTTTCAGGTCTATATAGAACATCACAAACTGTTTGAAATCATCAAGTAACACTTAAGACACCAGTGAAAGCATAGGCGCATACCTCTTGTTGGTAAATATATCAATTAACTATTTTCTTTTTTATACAAATGGTAAATATATTTCTTGCATTTTAAGTAAAATAAAACATTTGTTAAATTTCTATGGTGCATTTATTGTTCGTTTTACATGTAAATGTTGATAATAAAACGATTTTTTTAAGATGACATTTTAAAAGTATATATCAACTTTAAAAGGTCCGCGTTTCGGTACCTGTACATCATTGGCCCTTTTTTTTGGCTTTGAGTGTTCCTGTATAAGGCAATATAAAAATTCGCTTGAGAATTATAACATTAAAAAAGTGTGACTTTCATTAAAAAAAATTCTGCTGAATGTGTTAAGGTTATTTTTAAATGTTGTTTACATTGTTACAATGTTGTTCGTGTTAGAACACCCTAATAATCGGGGTTTGATAAGCGAGACTAACATATAATGACATTTCGTTGGTAATGCACTCAGTCTCTAATGTTTATATCACATATAACTGTATCATCAGAGATAAAACTAGTAAGATCCCAAATTGAACTTTCTCCTCAAACTTCCGTGGGCAAAGAACTCAGTATCTTATATACACAGACATAAAAATAAGGAGATGTGGTATGACTTCCAATGAGACAACTATCCATCAAAGTTCAAATGAAGTGGATGTAAGCAATTATAGATAACAGTACGGCCTTCAACTGCATCAAATATTAAAAGTAATCAGAGTTGAACCTTAAAAGATCCTGAATCGACCTTTCTCCTAAATTCTGCATTAATATTATTTTTCAGTCAAAAAAAACCCCAACTAAATATGAAAAGGCAATCTTATGGATGGCCAGATGATGACGATGATGATGATGATGAGTGTGTTATACAATGACACTTGCTCGTAAGTTAACTAAACATCTTCCAGTTAGTAATGTCTACATGCAAAACACCTTTATGAAAAAGGGAACCTGAAAAATACAGAATCTATATACCATTTTTATAAGTAAAGTAAAAATTATAGAGTTAGTTTATGACACACACACATTGAACACTACTTCCAGTGCTGTTCTTTATCTCATAAAAGATTTGAACACCTGATTGCAAGTTCAAGACGGTTTTTCGATAGATGTAGTTAAAGCTTCATACGTGCATTGAAGACCACAGAGGCATTGTGTCATAAACATATATAAATAAGGAGTGGTTTGATCATATAGCTCTTCGGCGGATTCAGTTTTTAAACATCATTGGCTTTCAAACGTTCCAGATGAAGGTAAATCCAGAAAAGATCTTCGGACTTGTGAAATTGATAGCGTTTTATTTTTTTCAATTGCCAATGAGACAACTGTTATGACAAAAAAAAACCTAAAGACATTGTCATTATTTGCTCGACAGTCCTATTGTTAAATAAAGAAGCAATTTATACAAACTTCCACATTACATATTCGATTACTTGGCCTTGTACATGTATTTAATTTTCACAGTATTTTCTTTCTGGTATATGAATCACCACATTAAAACCATGAAACTTCATTCAGAAGAGTTCTGGGACAATTGATTGCAAAAACTTATGCTGTTCAATTATACTATTACTCTTGCTCGACTGTAGCGGGAATCCACGTATGCATTATTTTCGTTTTTGTGCCTTTTTTTTGAAAATATTGATAAATATTATTGTATATTTACATATACAAATTAAGTGTACATTTAAGAGACACGAACACAAAATATGTTATAAGGTATATTTTAAGCTGTACATTGAATTTGGTAAGGGGGCTTTATATTGTGTTTTTTTTTATAGATTGGATATGTTTCAACAACATGAGAAGAGTTCCAGCTGAAGTATTTTTTTGAAACATTTCGGAACATATAACCAAGTTATGTGAAACATATTAGTATAATAAAACTGTTCAACATGTAGTTTTAATCATTCATTTATTTAAGCATGTGCCTTACACAAATCGTCAGATGCTTTCTACGAGATCATAATCACTTATTGCTATTTAACCAGAATACTCTGAATAAGTTATACCATATCATCCCCCCCCCCCCCCTCCAAAAAAAAAAAATTATAATTTTTGTGTGTGAAAATTGCAGGTTTTTTTAAACATTATATGCATAAACTGTCTCCAAGAAGGAAATGCAAGAAATTCGAAGAAAATGACCAAAGTGAAAGCGCACACTTCAAAACAAAGAATCAAACACAGAAGTCCAAGAGAGATCGTCAAATTCGCGAATTTGTTAAGCAAATGAGAAGATTGATTGATTGGTATTTGCTTTACGCCGCGTCAGCACAAAAGGCTTCATCGCAGCGAGACTTAATTCAAATATTTTAAGTTCGACTATAGGTCCTTCAATGTACTAAAACTTAAGTTAAAAGCAAAATTACTTATTAACAAATAAAAATCAGTACTTACACTACGTGTACGTGTATGACCGATTTGGCGGCTAGAAATAACACACTGACTTTTCTGCATATAAAATCATGTAAAAGTTTGCTTAAATTTGGTTTTGTTTCGTGTAATCTATTATCGTTTTTTTTATTCCTGTTCTATAACTATGATTGCATAGATGCCAGTGTTACTTGGCACCCATAGAAAAATAATTTCATTATCAAGAATATTCAAAGCAAAAGCGAGGAAAAGATAATCACAAGTATACAAACGCACAACAATATGTACATAAAAATCTTACGACTGAGCAACAATAACCTAAGGTGATATCAGCTGCTGCGGAAGATCAGGCATATCCTGCTCGAAAGTGAGCAGGTCATCGCAAGAACTTATTTGGTATCAAGTCTTATTCGTTGATGTTACAATCGAGGAAAACAGATCGAAGAATTAATACGACATATCAATGATCATCTGTGAAACAGATATTCCATAACGTTATATTTGACTAACTCAGAAACTTTTAAATAAGAAACTAAGGTTCCAACGCCATCTCGCGAAGTTGACCTAAAATGAATTTGAATATTCGTTTCAAGTCCCTTGGTCTTATAGAATCTAACGTTCTGCGTATTTTTACACCCCTTGCTTTCAAACGGTTATATTTGAGTATTCCTAATGAAGGTAAATACAGAAAAGCGCTTTGTATTATAACATTTTTCAATTTTTATTTTCATTTATCGAAGGAATGAATTAAAAGTTTCTAGAAGGAATTATTGATGCAATAGCCTCCTTGTAGCCAACAACCTGACATCAAGAAAATCTTGATAGGAAACAAAATCTTTTGACTATTGTATAAACTGGGAGATATATACTTCATATGCAGGCGCTGCTGATTTGTTACTAAATAGAAATGGACAATTCAACAATGGCAAATTGAAATCTTCTCTTTATTTGCCCAAAGGTTTTATTCTCAACCAACCCTCATTGTAAAAAATCCGAGATACAAGTAAAGATATGAAGCAGACTGTAATATTCTTTATTTCAAGTCTGATGGGATCATTGAGTTCACCATAGTCAGAAAATTTAGTGAAATAACTTTACTGATATGCTGGAACGTGAAGTTAATGGATAATGTAAGCTTCTTTTCATTCTGCATGAAAAGATCCTGTATGAAATCTGCCTTATGAATAAAGGAACAAGTCTGCAAATTTGGTTTGTAAAAATGTGACAAATTAGCATGTCTTGTCTACCTTTTGTTAATCCTCTGATCTAGATTAAAAGGAGAAGGTTTCATGATAGACAATTGTGTAACTCTTCCTCGTGTATCTTCCTCGTGTAAATAGCTTGTCCCAATACAAAAACTTCGTAAATGTTATCCGATAGATTTTTTAAATGCTTCATTTGTTTTGTGATATGGAGAATTAAGTGTTGATGGATACTATATAATAATGACCTTCATAGAAAAAAAAATGTGTTTTCCCTGGCCTGATGCCATCGCAAAAGCTGACATTGTTTTTGTCTATCGGCCAATTTGGCCGTAACCGATTTACTAAACAACGCAAAACATGGCTAGAATTTTAATGACTTGAAGAGAAAGGGTTTTATAGTCAGTAGCACAAGCGAGAGATTTTAAAGTGTGCAATCAAGTTATGAATTTCAAAAACACAGTTTTAGTTTTGTAAGGTTTTATGTTCTATTCAAAATTATTTACTTGTATTATAGCATATAACGTATTTTGAATCGTATTCAATTAAAATTCTTTAGCCTTTTTTATTTCAAAGTTGCTTATTACTTATCGTTGATAAGTAAACACAGATTCAGAATATATATGTAATATATATTTAGTTTTAATTTCAATGTTTTATAAATATGCTGGAAAATCCATTACGAAAACAAACAATCTTATAACGTGTCTATCTAAATGTATTTTCTTAAATGACAAAGAAGACAACCACAGCTTTGTAATAATCTTAATGCTTGAATAATTTAAAATAAAGTATAAACATAATTCGATATCCCCAAATGTATATTGTACATAATTTTAAATAAAATTAAAACCTCACATGACTATTTGTTTTCTTGTTATTTACTCATTTCCATGAAATCATGTGCTACTAATCTTTGTTGAATATATTTATTGCGTAATTTAATTTTTGAACGCAACGATTGTTTAAAGTCACCAGATAAATAAAGTGACAAGAAACAAGACAATACTACCAAAATTTATTTTATCTTTAGATTAAAATAATTAAACAAAATTTGTTTAACATTTCTGTAAAAAACACATTTGCGATCATTGTCACATGTTTTGTACAAAATTTTTGGGGTAAATTTGAGACGAAGTTTTTAAGAATTATGGTATTAGCACTGTATATTCACATGTTATCCCACGGAGAATGTCTATCGTAAAGTTGACACATATTTAGACGTATATAATAAAATAAAAATTGGATGTGATGGCCTGGTATGTAAAATTATCTTCCATTACGATGCACAACTGATCTGCAAGGTATACCATCTACTTGCCAATTTACTTGATGCACTGTGTTAAAGCTATATAAAGCCGACGAGGAAAGGCATTACTCGACTAACAAAAGCTATATTTTTTATATAGTTGAGTGGTCCAAGGCCTAAGTTAAAGGAATTCAACTCATGCCAAATGCTTCATTTTTTGTTTAGAGCCACATGTTCTCTTTTTTCCTAAATTCTTTCATTCTGTGGATAATATGATCCATCAAAACTATAGCTAAATCTAACATCCAAGTACTAACAAATTCAGGATGGAATTTTGTTTTCGAGTCAGGTGGCAAATATTTCATGCAGGAAAACAAATTAACAATATACATATAAAGGAAACGTTATGCAAAATAGGTCGATCAGTATGTGATAAAGGATAAAGGGTAAGAAATGTATGACAATTGAAAACAAAAAGGATTGAGACAGAAATGTTCCGACTTTTAATGGGTAACCTACGGACATCTCAAAAAGTTTCGCAATTTATCTCCAACTTAAGACATCCTAGAACTTTTTTACACAAGGCTTCCGTCCAAATGTGGCTGTGTATTTAAACATTTGCAATAGTCCAACGAACGCCCATAATCGTGGGCACGTGGAAGTTCGGATTTGTCGTAGTCCTCAGTAGTAGAAACTAGGTCAATGATTCATTCCACTGAGAACCACACAGCAGGTGTCCATAATTAGATTGTACATGAATGTGTTCTCTAATTATCAGTGTAAAAGATACCAAAGTGATAGTGAAACTCAGAAGTCAAAACACGAATTGGCAATGCCAAGTCAAACAACACCAATACCGAGTTTGGACAAGCGTTGCTGTATGCAATTGATTGATGTAATATGTACACTTGCGCATAACTGCCCATTTCCTTTCACTGAGGCCAAGAAAACTTTCACGAACATTTTCCTTGTACAATGAGTGTTGTAAAATTTCTAACTATCGACAAACAGGCAGTGGCTACACGGCAGACGTTTTAACATTTGCTTCCTAACTTCAACTCAGCATTATCAAGCAGCAGACCAAATAATAAATCATTCCCTTTCATGAAAGGAAAGAAAACTTCGACGAATATTCTAGTTCAATGAATGTAATATGTCCTGTAATAGATGCCGGGGAAGTTTTAACTGCCACAGGATAACGAGGGTATATTTAATAGGGGAAGAAATTTTGCATTACAACAGCTCATCTACGGATCCTTCAAAGATTACTGCAAGGTTTCTTTACGTGCAGAGAGCGTGGCACTCTCATAATATTGGATTAAGGTAGCACTACAGTCTAACAATGATTTTTTGAAGATATTTTTTTTATCACATAATTTTGAAGTAAGTATTATTCTGCACAGTTTGTAAAAATCCCAAAGTCATTATCATATCACAACAGGGAGTAAATTGATAATGAACTTATGTAAATAAAAGCACATGTAATTAATCTAAATATATAGGCATTTGGGAGGGGCTAATATGTCAATCATCTGTTGATACCAGTGTCCAGCTGTTAATCCCTGACCACAAGATAAATATCTCATTGCATTGCAACAAAACTAATTTATAAAACATGGAAGTTTAGAACAGAGAAAAAGAAAAAGATATGAATAGAAAAAAAATTTAAAGGGAAAAAATCTACCAAAATGAAAAAAAAAACTATGGAAAAGAGTGTGAAAGTATCTTTGAAAGCCTCTGACTGCCTGTATAAATTTCTCGTCTTTGGTCTTCTACATTTAAAAATAATTTTAGGCATTTTAACTAATTTTAAGTTTATGTGAAATTTTTTAATTCCATGAAACTCATATATCATTTTGGACAGTCTATTTTCAAGAAGGGGATGGTCTTGATCTTTTTATGGACATGTATTTTAATTTTAATATTTTAGCTAATTTCAGTCATCATGGTCATACTATATTTCTTTTTAAAATTCAAATGAAAATTATTCTTTATAGTGAGAATAATGAGGTTAAAAATCAATTATGATGCAGCTGGCCAATCCTGTTATTCTCTTATCTTAGACTGTCTGGACAGAGGCGGAGCTTTGTCTTTATTTAATTACTACATCACAGATGTTGGTCAAATCTGTGACGTCAAAGTCCCGCCAAATGCCAAGTTAGTGTTATACAGTGCACACAAAATGCAAATTTTACAGCATTAGAGCATCAAAGACACAATGTGTGTGGTTCTATTGATAAAGTAATGGTGTCAAAACACTCCTGGGGTGTTCCCAGTGGAATTTTTGTATTTATGTGGCATTTATAGGGGTTCTTAAGAGGAAATTCAGTTTTAAGGTCATTTCTCAGAACAATTTTTCATGAGAATTGTAAGGAAAAAATGAAAATAGAAACTTTATGGGTACCCCCTTTGGCTTGACTTTGATATATGTGATTGAAGGGAGTATTTTCTACAATACCGTGTCCCAGTTTTTGGATAATTTGTTTCTAAATGAATTTATAGGTCTCCAAAGATGAAAGGTGAAATGAGGTTTGGCATCCAGCAGTAAAAATAATATATCTTATTACTGGAGGCATATATCAAAAATCTGAGACACGGTTTTGTAGATTGTGAATGGTTGATTAAAGGGATGAAAACAAATTTTTACTACCATTTGACCTGAATGTGCCATTTTCATCCAAGTAGGAAGACCACTTTTTTGGCAATTAATGAGCTATATTTTGAGATTAATCATACCAAAAATAAATTTATCTATAGATTAAGAAAGAGTTATATTTCAGCTTTAAAATGAGTTAAAGATTTTAAAAATCCATTGAGTAGTTTTGGAGAAATTAATCTTTAAAGACATGTTGGTTGGAGTCAGAAAATTCTGACTGTAGTGCTACCTTAAACGTCTCCATTCTGACCGGTTGTAGCTTTGTGGATAGAAATAAATAGAAAATAGACAATATTAATTGGCACAAACACATTTACATTAAATGGTTATGGCATACAGTATAGAACAATTGAGACAATTAACTGACAATAATTAAATTAGAGTGACAGTGGTATTCACACGAAAAGAAGACTACAAATACGTGTGTATTGATAGTTAACCAATTATTAATGTCCATGAACAAAAAAGGATACATATCAAAAAATAAAAATTATACAGATGTTCTCAATGATTATAAAAGACAATCATTAATATATTTTGTGGTGATTTTTATAATGACTGGCAAACTGCTATTTAAAAGTGTGGTCGTATGCGCCTCAGTGTTATAGCTGATTGCAATTTAATAAAATTGAAGTTAAGATTAGTATTAAAGTATCCCTCAATGATATATAGCATCCTCAATTTCGTGTCTGTTACAGGATAGGCAAATGCGTTGATTTCTTTCAACGTTGGTATGACGCCCCCTTTCAATTGCTAGGGAAAGGGCACTAAGTTTAAATTTCCTGAAAACTGATCTGTCAGTTTAAATTTACATATATTAATATACGGGGGCCTTTATCCATTTTTTTGAGTCTTACAAAAGAAATTTAGTTTTTCACATTTACGGATAGAACAGTTCATAATTTGATAAGCCTTGTCAACGATTCTTTGTTGGATAGTATTTATATATAATATTTTATATTAATGGGGTCAAAAGTAAGATGACAAAAACCTAATTTATTTAACCAGTCTTTTACAATGTTGACCCATTTACTTGTTTCCTCTACATTATTATATATTTTATAGACTATTGAATAAGGTGAGTTCACAATGTGGTTTAGAAATTTTATAGCTGAAAGCTGAATTTTTAAGTGCAAAGGAGTTCTGTTTGTCTCAGCTAGACAAGCTACATTTGTTGTTTTGCACTGTACCCTCCAAATTTCCTTAATAAATTTTATATGTAAATGTTCAAATGGATCTGAATCTTTGAACACTTTGCTTACATCCCATACTTCACTTCCATAAAGAGTGATTGGGACAACTAAAGTATCAAATAATTTTTCAAGCATTTTGCAAGAATTATCTAAAGATAAAAAAAGATGTGGTATGATTGCCAATGAGACAACTCTTCACAAGAGACCAAATGACACAGAAATTAACAGCTATAGGTCACCATACGGCCTGCAACAATGAGCAAAGCCAATACCGCATAGTCGGCTATAAAAGGCTCCGAAATCACAAATGTAAAACAATTCATACGAGAAAACTAACGGCCCATTTAATGTTAAAAAAAAAAATGAACGAAAAACAAATATGTAACACAGCAACAAACGACAACCACTGAATTACAGGTTTTTCTAATTTTAAACCAAGCCTTTCTTCCTTTTTCCATAAGAATTTTTTTGGAAGGCCTTACATTGCCTGAATAATTCATTGTTATTCCAAGGTAACAATAAGATTTAACGGTCTCAAGATGCTCGTTTTCTACTTTAAATTAATTACAAATTTCCCATTATAATTGAATATTACTATTTTTGATTTTTGTTTGTTTACAACTTTCCAAAGGGAACAAAATTTATTTAACTGATTAAGTTCATTTTTTAGCCCTTCTTGGGTTTCTGATAATAAAATAATGTCATCTGCATATAATAATGATGTTAGTTTAACTTCCCCAATTGTATGATCAAGGACATTTACAAGGCCATTTATATAGAGATTAAACAAAGTCGGGCTAACTTCATCCCCTTGTTTTACTACACAAGTTGATATAAATTCATGGCTAATACCAACTTGAAATTTACATTAAAAAGCTTGCCTGGAAGTGTGTTTTAGAGTAGGATATAAAATAAACCCTCCCTCCAGACAGTATCAAAGGCCTTTCGTAGACCAACAAATGCTGCAGAAACTTTTTTTTTATCTTATATTTATCAACAATTGACTTTAATGAGAAGATATGATTTGCTGTTCTAGCCTTATCTTTGAAGCCAATTTGATTTTCACTTATCAAATTATTGGTGTTAATAAACTTCATAAGTCTGGTGTGTATAATTTTATTGAATAATTTTTTTAGGCATTCGTCGTTTCAATCATTTTGTCATGGAATTTATTGTTTGGGATATTAGAAGAGCTGTTATTTTTTTTGCAGTAGTTTATAAATAATTCCTGATCAAAGTGGTTGTCTTCTTTAATTTTTCATAGAGCATTTAATTTATTTGTTAAGTAAATTGCAAAATGTCTTTGGGTCTTTTTTCATATTTAGTGAAATTTGGTCACAGATTTGTCTTTTGTAACTTTTTTCTTCCGGTTTGCACCTTCTTCTTAATTTAGATTTAAATGAGTAAAATGATTTACTATATAATCCATTGTCCGGAAACTTATTAACAAGAAAACAGTATTTTTTAACTGTAGTATGTAGGTCATGACAAGAGTCCGAGAACCATGTTTTTTTTATTTTGCTTGATAGGCCTATTCATGTTTCTCTTTTGAACAAATTTAGTTGATGAAAGAGCTGTATACCATAATATGGCGTTAAATTTTTCCACAGCTTTATCAGAATCAATCTGCCTATACTTACAAAATCATCTAGCCTTTGTTTCACATGTGAGCTTTGAATGTTTGTAGTATAGCAACCCATTGCTTTGTTATCCTAAATAAATTTACCGGGGAGAGGATTTAACTTTGTCCCTTTATTTTAAAATTGTCAATTGGCTTCTGGTTGCATGTGATAAAATCTGGTAATAATTGTTTTCCTAAAGATGTATATAGATAATATTTCTAGAAGGCGTTTATTGCACGCATTTCATACCAGCTTAATGATAGACATCTGAATTATTGGAAAAAAAATATTTTTGTAATGATAAACCATTGAATGGTAATAAGCTCAGAACATATATAACATATAAACAGCTTAAAGAAAATTACAAATTAGAAACCTATTTAATGTTAAGCATTGACGAAAAAGTAATAGGACATTTTGCCAAAATTTGCATAAATGATAGTGTTCTTAAAATTGAACAAGGTCGACATACTAAAACTTTTTAGAAGAAAAGAATATGTCCTTTGTCTCTTTTAGAAGTGGAATATGAATTTCATTTCACTATAAAATGTACAAAACTAAATACAATTAGTGAACAATTATTTTCTAAAATTAGTGAAATAGTTCCCTCTTTTTTTAATATGACTAATGAAGTAAGATTTAAATTTTGTTATACTTCTGGTGAGAATGATGTTAATAGAATCATTGTAAAATGCATAAGTAACATGTATAATTGTTGAAATGCTTTGAGTAATAAATAACTTTGTCGTACCACCTCCTCAGAAGAGTTTAGATTATACATATATTAATGTAACAACATTTTCTTTTTAATAATGGAGGGGATAATCAAATTTATATATATACAATGTTTATAAATGTGGACTGATATGTGTTTGTATGTTTCTGTATAGCCGATGTTTGTTGTCTTTGGTAACAATCCTGTAATTTTGGATTTTAACCAACAAAATATCTTATCTTATCTAAATGAAAATGCATGAATAATTGTGTGTATCATCTGAAACATAATGCCTTATCAAAGTTATTCCAAGTAAGCTTTTGTTCACATTTTCCTGTTAAAAATAAATACATATTCAAAAGTTAAACTTTGCAAATGAAGTAAATATATCATATACATTAAAGAACTTATTGTTAACGGTTTTCGAAAAAATCACGTGATAAAATAATTTTTTTGATTAATATAAATAATTTCTGTTCTATATAGAACATCACAATTCTGTTTAAGTCATCCGGAAAACTAGGAAATTAGTGAAAGCACAGACACATTTTTCCCGTTGGTAAATATATTAATTAAGTTTTTTTTAATTCAAAGGGTAAATACATTTCGTGCATTTCAAGTGCAATAAACATTTGTTATTTCTGTAGTAAATTTATTGGTCGTTTTAATTTTAGATGTTCATAATAAAACGAACAAAAACAAAATGATTTAAAATAACAATAAAAGTATAAGCCTGCTTTAGAAAGGTCTGCGTTTCGATTCTTATACATAATTGGCTTTTTGTTTTGGATTTTAGCGTTCCAGTTGAAAACAATCTAGAATCGTGCTTGGGAATTATAACATTTAAAAAAAAGTGTTACATGTCATTAATATTTTTCTGTTGAATGTGTTTGTTTTCGAATGTCGTTTAAATTTGTTCGTACTCACAACACCCAAGGAAAAAGTAAAATAACAAAAATACCGAACTCCGAGGAAAATTCAAACAGGAAAGTCCTGAATCAAATGGCAAAATCAAAAGCTCAAACACATTAAACGAATGGATAATAACTGTCATATTCCTAACTTGGTACAGGCATTTTCTTATGTAGAAAATGGTGGATAAACCTGGTTTTATAGCTAGCTAAACCTCACACTTGTATGACAGTCGCATAACATTCTATTATATTGACAACAATGTGTGAACAAAACCATAATAGGTAAAAAAAGTCAAAAATAAGGGTACAGCAGTCAATATAGTGTTATAATCTTAATCACTATAAAAACAAACAACTATGTCAACAAAGAAAAACAAAAAGGCATATAGACAAAGCACATAAGAAAAAACTAAAGACAAGTATACAACTGTATCAAATATTAAAAGTAATCAGATATAAACCTGAAAAGATCCTAAATTGAACTTTTCCCTAAATTGTACATCATTATTATTTTTTAGTAAAAAAATTAACTTAAATATGAAAAGGCAATCTTATGGGTACCCAGATGATGATGATGATGAGGACGACGATCCCGTTTGTAATATACTATGACACTGGCTCGTAAGTTATCTAAAACATCTTCCAGTTAGTAATTTCTGAATACAAAACACCTTAATGAGAAAGGCAACAGAATACAGAATCTATACCATTTTTTTAAGTAAAGGAAACCAATATCGAGTTAATTTATGACACACAAACATTGAACACTACTTACAGTGCTGTCCTTTATCTAAAAAAAGAAGATTTGAACACCTGATTGTAAGTTCAAGACTGTTGGTCGATAGATGTAGTTAAAGGTTCATACGTGCATTGAAGAACAAACTTCAACATTACATATTCGATTACTTGGCCTTGTACATTATTTTAATTAGGTCTTTCCACTTTTCTTCCGCCTAATTTTTCCTTCGCTGTTTAGTTGATTTGCAAGTTATAGATATTTGGTATATGATATTGATCAGTTTATACTCTTTTGAACTGACACCACTTAACCGAATACTTTTTCTTGTAAGAGTTATCTCCCCGAACAAGTTTTTCCTTGTTATTTCTAGTACTTTGCAACCGTAGAAGAAACCGTCAAATGTATTTTTCCAAATCGCTCGTTATATCCTTTTTTATATGTTTTGTTTAATTTGAACGAAGTGTTATAGAGATTTCATATGAGAGTTATATTCCCTTCTGTATTTGCTATAAGATCCCCTTTTGTATTTCATATAAGTGAAATGTATTTGTAACTGGCAAGTAATAGAGATCAAGGGTCTATTGATTTGAGGTCCTTGCTCCATAAAAAAGAAAATGAGGTCAAGGACAAAGGTCAAGGTCATGTTCAAAATTTTGATTTTGGCTTGCTATCAATTATTTTTAGAAATTGTATATGATATCGACAAAATATTTTTACAAAATTGTTAGTCGCGACATGTCGTAACACATTAATTTTAGCTGAAAGGTTACGTAGAAATTTTAATGGGAGTTTTCTCCCCTCTTATATTTCAAATTAGCCGTATGGTGATATAACTCATTAACCATATATAGTAGAGATCTAGGGTCTTTTGAGTTAAGGTCCTTGTATTATGACCTTGAAATTGGGATGAAGGTCAAAGTTTGATTTGACGTTCTAGATTTTGACCTTTGCTCTTACTTCTTATTGGTTCAAGATAAAGTCAGAGGGTCTTTTACATTTTGTTACAGATATATGACCTTGAACCTTTTGTAAACCAGAAGTAACAATTTTTTGCATTATTTTCATTTACAATTTGCGGAAACTTTATATCTTTTTGAATCAGTGGGGAATCATGTCCAAATGTTTGCGGCATAAGCTTTTTGTAAACCGAAAGTACCTACTTATCTCCATTATTTTTAGCAAAAGTATATAAAAACCATATTTTTTGGGAAGCAGCATAAAATTAAGCTATTATCTGACACCAGAATTGACATTTTAAACTTAAATTGAATATTTTCCTGTCTAAATATGTCTATTTGGGGTGGAAAGACCTTCAATTGTTCACAGAACAATTGGGTTATAATTTTTATTATTTTTCTTCTTCCGCCTTTGTTTCTTGTGTGTAATTTGTGTTTCGCAAGACATCGCTTATATATTTTTCATATGATATCAAACAGTTATTGTGCTTTTAAAATTGACCCTGTTTAGTCGAAGACTTTTTATTGTAAGACTTATCTCCAAAAACACTATTTATTTGTTCGTGCATCTCCTCCGTAACCGTAAAAGAAATCGACAAATTTATTTTACTAAATTGCTCGTTATATTTTAAGGATGTTTTGTCCTATTTTAACAGAAGCTATACGAAGACCTATGTATTTGACATAAGTGATATGTCAATGTATCGCATGAATGGTAAGTAATAGAGACCTAGGGTATTTGGATTTGAGGTCCTTGGTACATAAAAATGAATTTGAGGTCATGGTCATGTTCTCAATTTAGACTTTGCCTGGTTTTATGATTTCCTCTGACAACTTTAAAGGTATATTTATAAGAACTAGAAAATGGTTGCCTCATTGTGATGAAGATATGATATATTTGGTCCGAAACAATCCAAAGACATCTTATAGGAGTTATTGTCCCTGAAATGGTTAAATTTAAGGTTAATTGATTATTACTTCAACTTGGTACATGATAAAGCCATAGGGTTTTTTGAAAAATGTTAAATGACATATGACCTTGAAAAATATTAAACGGAAGTGACCTTGAGTAAACCGGTAGTAGCCATTTTTGCACTTATTACATGGAAATGTACCTAGAAACGATACATTTTTTTTAAATATGCATACATTTGAGACTGGAAGATAAACGGGAAGTAGCTTATTATCTCCCTTATTACATGCAAAAGTATATAGAAACCATACTTTTTTGGAATCAGTGGAAAGCAGCTATCATTTGAGACCGCAAGTGACACTTTCTAATCCGGAAGTTGGCAATTATCTTCCTTATTTTAGGCAAAAATATATGGAAACCAAATATTTTTGAAATCAGTGTGAAAGAAGCTATCATATGAGACCTGAAGTGACATTAGCTTCACCGGAAGTAGCAAATTAACTCCCTTATTTCACACAAAAGTAAATAGAAACCATTTATTTTTCGAATCAGTATGAAGAAACGTATGATTGGACGACAATAATTACTTCGAGAAAACCGGAAGCAGCTGCTTATCAATTATTTAGAAAACTGATGTGGAAAGACCTTCAATTGTTCTTTGAACAATTGGTTTTTAATTTTCACAATGTTTTCTTTATGGTGTAAAGATCACCACCTTAAAACCATGAAACGTCAATCTGTAGTGCTATGGGGCAATTGATTGCAAAAACTCATGCTGTTCAATTATACTATTACTCTTGCTCGACTGTAGCTGGAATCCACGGTTGCATTTATTTCGTTTTTGCGCCTTTTTTTGAATTTACGATGGACAAAAATATCGATAAATATTATTGTATATTACATATACAAATTAAGTGTACATTTAAGAGACACGTACACAAAATATTTTATAAAAGTATTTTTTTTAGGTGTACAATGAATTTGTTACTGAGGCTTTATATTGTGTTTTTTTTATAGATTGGATATGTTTCAACAACATGAGAAGATATCCAGCTGAAGTATATTTTTGAACCATTTCGGAACATATAAACACATTATGTGAAACATATCAGTATAATAAAATTGTTCAACATGTAGTTTTAATCATTCTTTTATTCAAGCATGTGCGTACAAGATTCGTCAGATGCTTTCTATAAGATCCTAATCAGTTATTGCTATTTAGCCAGAATACACTGAACAAGGTATACCACTATCATTTCCCCAAAAAATAAACAAAATAAGAATAATGTTTGTGTGTGAAAAATGTAGTTTTTTAAAAACATATTCATAAACTGTCTTCAGAATGGAAATGCAAGAAATTCGAAGAACATGGCAAAAATTGAAGGGGACATTTCAAAACGAAGAATCAAAACACAGAAGTCCAAGAGAGATCGTCAAAGTCGTGAAAAAAGCGAACTTGTCAGGCAAATGAGAAGATTGATTGATTGATGTTTGCTTTACGCCGCGTCAGCACAGAAAGGCTACATCGCAGCGGGACCTAATTCAAATACTACATCCAACTAATGGTCCTTCAATATACTAAAACTCAAGTTTAAAGCAAAATTACTTATTTACAAATAAACATCACTTCTTACACTTCGTGTACGTGTATGACCGATACGGCGGCTAGAAATAGAACACTGACTTTTTGTGCATCTAAAATCATGTAAAAGATTGCTTAAATTTGGTTGTATTTCATGTAATCTATTATCGTTCTTTTTTTCCCTATTCTACAACTGATTCCATGGATGCCAGTGTTACTTGGCACCCATAGAAGATTAATTTTATTATTAAGAATATTCAAAGCAAAAGCGATGAAAAGATGATCACAAGTCTACAAACGCACAACAACATGTACATACAAAACTTACGGCAGGTCATTGCAAGTACTTATTTGGTGTCAAGTCTCATTCGTTGATGTTACAATCGAGGAAAAGAGATCGAAGAATTAGTACGACATATCCATGGTCATCTGTGAAACAGATATTCCGTAACGTTATAGTTGACTATCTCAGAAACTTATAAATTAGAAACCAAGGTTCCAACGCAATCACGCAAAGCTGACCTCAAATGAATTTGAAAAATCTTGATAAGAAACAAAAGCTTTCGAGTATTGTATTAACTGGTATATATATATTTTATATGCAGGCGCTGCTGATTTGTTACTCAATAGAAATGGACAGTTCAATATTGGCAAACTGAAATCTTCTCTTATTTTGCCAAAAAAGAATTATTTTCAACCAACCCTCATTGTAAAAATTTAAGATACAAGTAAAGATATGAAGCAGACAGAACTATGTCAGTGATATCCTTTATTTCATGTTAGATGGGATCATTGAGTTCACCATAGTCAGAAAATGTGGTGAGAGAACATTATTAATATGCCGGAACGTGGATAATGCTAGCTTTTTTTCATTCTTCATGTATGTAATCTGCCTAATGAAAATGGAGCAAGTCTGCACAATTAGTTTGTATAAGTATGACAAATTTGCGTCTGTTGTTTACCTTTTGTAAATCCTCTGATCGAGATTAAAAGGAGAAAATTTCATAATAGACAATCGTGTAACTCTTCCTCGTGTAAATAGCTTGTCCCAATTCAAAAACTTCGTAAATGTTATCTGATAGAATGTTTTAATGCTTCATATGTTTTGTGATATGGAGAATTTGGTGTTGATGGATAATAAATAATTAATATGGCCGTCATTAGAAATAGATATTCCCCGGCCTGATGCTTTCGCACAAGCTACCAGTTTTTTTTGTTTGTCGATCGACTTAATTGGCCGTGACCGATTTATTAAGCAACATAAAACATGGCTAGAATTTTAATGGCTTAAAGAGAAAATTGGGGTTGCATAATCAATTAAACGGGCGGGAGATTTCAAAGTGTGCACTCAAGGTATAGATGTAAATGTTCAAAAGACAGTTTTGGTTTTGTGACATTTTATTCAAAATTATTCACCTGTATTGTAGCATATAACGTATTTTGAATAGTATTCAATTTATATTCATTGGCCTATTTTAGTCAAGTTGCTTATCACTTATCGTTTATTAGAAAACACTGTTTCAGAATATATATATATTAAGTTTTAATTTCAATGTTTTATTAATATGCTGGAAGATCTATTACGAAACAAACGGTCTTCTAACGTGTGCATTTCTTTAAATGAGACAGATTTCAAACAAAAGCTTTGTGATAATCTTTTTGCTTGAATAATGTAATATAAATGTAAAAATAATTCGATATCCAAAAAGGTATATTGTACATAATTTAAAATAAAATTTAAACCTCACATGACTATTTTTTTTTCTTATTATTTACTCTTTTCCACGAAATCATGTGATACTTATCCTTGCTGAATATAGATATGGTGTAATATAATTTTGACCACAACGATTTTACAAAGACACTAGAGAAACAAAATGACCAGAAACAAGATAGAAAATACTACTTAAATGTGTTTTATGTCTTTAAAGTAAAATAAATCTTTTTAAAATATATGGTTAACATTTCTTTGAAAACACATTTACGTTAATCGTCATAAGTTTCACAAGTCTAAAGATTCGCTCAACGGTACTAACATAAGATGGATATATACGAAGATGATGTTATAAAATCGTCAACACGAATTTTATAACATCATCTTCTTATATTAGTACCGTTGCGCAAATCTTTAAACTTTCATAATTTTATTCCTTATCAGCGCCATATTTTTAACCTGGGTTTTTACCATTATTATGCACAGTTTTCTCTGCTTTCAAAATCTTTCTGTTTGAACCCGTCGACCCGAAACTCGTTAATTATTGGTTATATTAATTATTTTGAAAACAAAAGGGCCTGGAATGGTGCAATTTTTAATCAATACCATTGTCCTATATTAGTTATATATAAAGTTGAACCGGCTAACAAATTGGAAAGTACCTACGCCTTATTTTTAGCCTGGATTTTTAGTATTCGTATTGTTATCTGATAAAGTAATGCTGATTATAAGGTGAACTGTTTTCTCTAATTTCAAAATCTTTCTGTTTGAACCCGTCCTGGTTTTCCTACTACAACCGGAAACTACATGTGACAATGATTGAATTTAGTAGTGTCAATTCATGTATAATGACGAAGTTCAGGTGTGATTATGACTCGTGTATATAGCAAATCCCAAATACACCGTTTGGTGGTGCACCTGACAGAGGCGGAACGTACAGATTGGGTAACAGGTAACAGGTGACATATACTATTGGTATCGGTATCGGATTTGACCCGGAACTTGTTAATAATTGGTAATACTAATTATGTGGAAAACAAATGGGCCTAGAATGGTGTAATTTGTAATCAAAACCATTGTCCTATTTTAATAATATATAAAGTTGAATTCTTTGGTTCGTCTTTTTTTACGCGATGCCGGCTAACAAATTGGACCTCGTTATTTTAGTAGTATAGATATATACTCAACAGAAAAGGAAAAGACAAGCGTGGATTGATAACGGTACTCGTTATCCTCTGTATTTTATCGTTAAAAAAAGAAGAGTATATTACATAATAAATTTATTAAAGAATCGAAATTACTATATTGAATTTCTAATTAAGACATACCTGTGAATAGCTCATAATCATTTTTTAAATCAATATTAGAACTGGTGTGATTTCCTAACCAGGAAGAGATTTCAAAACGATACTAGTAAATTGATAACAGAAAGTAAGAACTATTTCCGGAAACTATTTTTACCAAAAAAGCTAGATGATACATATCGATAAATAAGAATTCTCATATATACTTGTTTATTTCATGATTAAAAATGATATATTATGATTTGATTAAGATGTAATATAATAATTATTATCAGAGAATTACCCTGGATCTCTGGCAAAAAATAAAGGGACCCTTCAATAGAATGCTGAATTAGTGAAGTAAATTGTTGACAACGTGCAATATATTGTTGAATAAAAAAAAAAGTATAAAGACAACTTTGAATAATTAGCTAAGTATTCAGAGTAATGACAAATTAGCAATAGTTCTAAGTGGTGAATTTGAAATCATCCCTTCGTATATTTTACGGACGTCATCACAAGTTGGTTGATCGTTATGGAATATCCGTTCACAGATGATAATCCCGTCCCCTTTTCCCGAATGTGACCTACCGAATTAGAATTATTACTGGGTTTGTACTAACATGAGCAACACGACAGGTGCCACATATGAAGCAGGATCTGCTTACTCTTCGGGAGCACCTGAGATCACCCACAGTTTTTTTTAGGGGTTCGTGTTGCTCAGTCTTTAGTTTTCTATATTGTGTTTTGTGTACTTTTGTTTGTATGTTGGTCTTTTTCTTTTTTAGCCATGGCGTTGTCAGCTATTTTCGACTTATGAGTTTGAATGTCCCTCTGGTATATTTTGCCTCTTTTTAGCAAACAAACGAAACCAAATATTTCATTATTGCAAAAACAATCCAGCTACTATTCATCTGAGACTTAAATATCATTTTGATGTATTTATACATTCCGCCATTGTGTTATTGTGCTATGGACTTTTAATGTTCTTGTCTTTCATTTTTGCTTATGTACTTTGTCTATAGACTGTCAATATAGCATTTTGATTTTCTTTGTTGAAATAGTAATTTGTTTCATAGAGATTAAGATCATAATACAATTTTGACTGCTGTTCCCCAATGTTTGACACTTTTACCTATTATGTCTCAAAATGAAATTTGGCATATTGCCTTCAACCCCACAACAAAAAGATCTTTTAAAATACCATACTTCCAAGTATTGTCATAGGCCTTTTCAAGGTCGAAAACACTACATATATAAAAATAAGGAGATGTGGTATGATTGCCAATGAGACAACTATCCACCAAAGTTCAAATGAAGTGAATGTAAGCAATTATAGGCAACCGTACGGCCTTCAACAATGAGAAAAATACCCATACCGTATGGTCGGCTATAAAAGGCCCCATGAAAAATATGAAACAATTCAATTGAGAAAACTAACGGCCTAATTTATAACAAAACAATTTACGAAAAACAAATATAACAGACATGAACCAACGACAACCACTGACCTACATGCTCCTGACTTGGAACAGACACATAAAGAATGAGGCGGGG